TTTTTATCTTTATCAACCTTCTAGAAGCTTATCAATTCAATTGATTTTTTTCTTACAACCACTGTTTTTTGTTTCAATGATTTTTTAATATTATTCTTCTGTTTTAACTCTTGATTGAAATTCTGATCTTGATTGATTTTTTTTCTTCACTATTTCCTTCTTCTACCTTACTTTAGGCCTACTTTGCTCTTCTTTTTCTAGTTTTTTTTGAGTTAGGAACTCAGAGTGTTGATTTGAGATTATTTCTCTTTTTTAACATAAGCATTTAGTACTATAACTTTCCTCTCTGTAATGCTTTATCTGCATCCCATGATACTTGGTATGTTGTATTTTCATATTCCCTCAGTTCTATGTAATGTTTTTATTTTCTTTGGGACTTCTTGGACCATATTACTTAGTAGTCTGCTGTTTAATTCCGTGTTTGGAGATTTTCTCATTGCCTTTCTGTTATTGGTTTCTAATTTGACCCCACCATGAACAGAGAACATAATCTGATCTCAATTCTTTTAATATGCATAAGATTATGACACTGGATATGGTCCAGTTTAATGAATATTCCATGGCTGCTTGCAAGGAATGTGCCTTCTATTATTGCTGAATGGAGTTTTTTATAAATGTCAATTAGGTCTTGTTGTTGATGTTGTTTAATTCCATATCCTTGCTGATTTTCTGGCTAGTAATCCTGTCAATTGTTGATATTAGAGGATGGTGAAGCCCCAACTATAATTGTGAATTTGTCTATTCCTTCTTTCAGCTCTTTCGGTTATTGCTTGATGTATTTTGAAGCTCTGCTATTTGTAAACACACAAAGTTGCTACATATTCTTTGTAAATTGATCCTTTTATCATTATGTAATGTCCCTCTATGTCCCCAGTAATTTTTCTCTTCTCTGAAGTCCACTTTATCTGAAATTAATAAAGCCACTACTGGTTTTTTTTTGGATTCATATTTGTGTGATATATCTTTTTTCTACCTTTTATTTTCAATTTAGATATTTCAGTGTAAAAAGAAAATAGTTGAGCCATTTCTTCTTAATTATACTCTGCCATTCTCTTTTAATTGATGTATTTAAACTATTTACACATTAAAGTAATTATTGATATGTTAGAGCTTAAGTCTCTCATTTTATTATAAATGCTTTCTATTTGTGCTGTGCCTTATGTCTCTGTTGCTTGTTTTCTCCCTCCCTGTGGGTAACATCAATATTTTTTTAGAGTTCCATTTTGATTATTTGTAATGTTTTTAAGTTTATCACTATGTATAATTGTCCTAGTGGTTGCTTTATGTATTAATATGCACACATGTAACTAGCCACAACCTACTGATGTCAACATTTCAAATGAAGTATAAAAACTTTACCTCCATGTGGCCTGTGCCCTCCCCATTTTTTAGATATATTTTTCTTAAGTATTTCTTCTGTATACATTCAGCACATGAGATGGTGTCACATCTTTTCTTTGGCCATAAAATATGTTTAAAGAAACCCATGAAGTGAAAAATAGTGTATTATGTTTATTTCTGTGTTTACACATTCTGTCTCTTCCTTTCCTTTCTGAAGGTGCTAGCCTTCTATTATCAGTTGCTTTTTGTTTGGAAAGCTTCCTTTAGCCCTTTTCCAAGAGTAGGTCTGTTAGAAACAAATTCTTTTAATTTCTCTTCATCCTAGAATACCTTCATCTCTTCATTTCTAAATACAGTTTCAGCGGATATAGGATTCGTGGTTAATAGCTTTTTCTTTCAGAGCTTGAAAAATGCTATGCCACTTTCTTTTGTCTTCCACGGTTTCAAATGAGAAAACTGCTGTTATTTGAATTGGTGTTACTTTATAGGTAATATATCATTTTTCTGTTTTTAAGAATTTTTCATTGTCTTTAGTTTTTAGTAACTTAATTATAATGGATCTTGCTGTGGACTTGAGTCTTTCCTATTTGAGGTTTTCTCACCTTCTTGAATCTGCAGATCTCTGTCTTTAGCCAAATTTGAGAAGTCTTCAACCATTGTTTCCTTCAATCCTTTTTCAGTCTCACACTCTTTTTCTTCTCCTTCTGGAACTCTGATAATATGAATGTTAAATCTTTTGTTATCATCCCACAAATCTCAGATGTTTTCTTGATTTTTTTTCAGTCTCTTTTCTCTCTGTTCTTCTGAGTAAACACTATTTAATTTAATTCAAGTTTACTGAGTCTATCCCCCAGGTCCACTCTCCATTATTAAGACCACCCAGCAGGGTTAATAACAATAATAATTAATAATAAATATAATAATATGAATATTATTGTAAATAATATTTACATATTACATAATATTATATATAAATATAATAGTATAAATATAATAATAATTATTACTTATACTTTTCAGTCCTATAATTTTGCAATTGGTTTTTGTAACTTCTATTTCTTCGCTCAGATTTTCCATTTCTTCACTTGTTTCAAAAGAATTTGTAATTGACTGCTGAATTATTTTTCTGGCATCTGCTTTAAAATCCATATCAGATACTTCCAACTTCTTATTCATCTCAGTATTGGTATTTGTTGATATTCTTTTCTCATGCAGAGTGTGGTTTTCCTGGGTTTCAGTATGGCAAGTAACTTGTTTGTATTCTGAACATTTCAGTTTATGTTAGGAGACTCTTGATCCTATTTAATTCTTTTATTTTGGCAAATAGCCAACTTTTTTAGGTTTGGAGTATAGATTCTCACCAACTTTTGTGGTTTCAATAACAACTTAGTTTGCAGAGTCCTTGCAGTATTTATTCTAGTCTTCTGGAACATCCTCTCAATTCCTGCTGCCAGCAACATATATGGGAATAAAACGGGCTTCTCTCAGCTGCCTTGTATCCCTTGGCCATCCTCTCCATGTAGAGGTGTGGTGGGCTTGAACCTACTTATGTCACAGGGGAGATAAAGGTTGATGCTGTCCCTGTGGGTGTCAGTCTGCAAGCTGGTGCCCTGATTGGGAAGTGGGGTTTGGGATGGTCAAGGGCTTATTACTGCCACTGCTGCTAGTAAAATAGATAGCCAGCCCTGTGTTGTGAAACAGGAGATTTGGGCTCCTCACTAGGCCTCTGTTGTGCTTCTCTTTCCCAGTATTTGGATGGAGAGAGCACACTTTTCTTAGGATTTTTTTTGTCTATGCCTATGGATGGTTTCAGATTGCAGGCCTTTCTTGGTCCCCAGTCCAAATGTAGGTGAGATGAAAACAAAACTAGGAAGCTCATCACACTGTCCTTCAAATACTGTAGTCTCTAGCCATTTTGCCTGCCTCCTTCCAGCTTTAAGAGTTATTTTACCGTTATCTGCTAGCTGATTTTCAGGATATTTAGTTGTATTTAGTTATAGGAGAAGGGCTGAGAAAAGGGAGTCTACAGTCTTGTTCCAAAACTGGAGCTATTCAACTTTTGTCCTGCAGGTGGAGCACATCTGCTGGGTAACATTCACCTAGGAGATTTCATGTCTTCTCTGAAGTCCCTCAGTAGTTGCCGCAGATAGAAATAAGCCCAGACTAGTTACTCATGAATTGACCATAATTCCACTCCTCTCATTGTTCCATTCCTACAGAAGGTGACACTAGACTATAATTGACCTTACAGTGAAATGGTTGTAGAACAAGCTTTATACCTGAAGAAGTATTTAAATTATGTCCTTAATACTTTTGCCTCATACTGCTATTGGGAGGATATAAGCAATGTTTGTCATACTCCCTAGTAGATAGGACTCAGTAAATTACTAGTTATCATCACTGCTCATTATTCATTTAGCAAGTATTTATTAAGAACCTATTTGTGCCAGGAAATTACCCCTCCTCATAGAACATTGTAATTGGAATAAGAAAGACAATGGCCCACTAAAAAATAAGTAAACAAAAGTTAAATCAAATAATTTGAATTTTCATATTCAATAAAGAGAATAGAGAATGGGAGGTTGCTTTGATTTGTCATGGAAAGCCTGTCTGAAGAGAAGACTTTAAGTTAATTTCTGAATGACAATAGGGAACCAACCATAAAAATGGCCAAGGGAAGAGCATTTCTGGCAGGGGACAACTAGAATAAAGACTGTATGAACACCTTGGCACAGCCAAGAAACAGAACGGCCAGGGTGACCACTGAGTCATGGCTAAAAGCAAGAACAGTTCAACATGACAACAAAGACGTAAATAGGGACCATGTCATGCAGATCCAGGTAGGAAGTTTCAGTTATAAAGATCAGGGAAGCCACTAGAGAATTATTAGCAAAACTAATTCAAAGGGATTTATTCTAATAAACAGTAATAAACATAAGCTTAGTTCCCTGCTGATGAACTCAATCTGAGTTTAGAGTCTGAAAGATGCATTAATTTTTCAGGCTTACCAGAACTCCACACTAGTTTTTAACTTAACAAAACTGTGGATCCGGATTATTCATTATATTATCTGGCATGAGGAACAATTCATATAATTTCGGGGAGCAGTCACTGATCATGATTTCTTCTATTTTACTTTATGATAAAATGACTAACATATTTTGAAGATTCATTAGTACACTGGTGGACCTTTATTCTACTGGGAGACTCTGTGGAGATGTCAGGCATCTAAGATGCTTTGAGTGCCTTTACCATATCACTAATGTGTGAATGAGGACAGAAGGAAATGGTGCCCACCATATAACAGTACACATGTAAAAGTAGTCCTAGACCCTCTTCTGTTTGACTTGCATTTTAATAAATTACTATGGCTAAATTAATTAGATGTAGTCTTCCTTCAAGTAAAATAATATCCTTCTCTATGCAGATGATTTTAAAATCATAACCCAGGATTTTCCCAGAGTCCATAAAGAGTTAGAAGAAGGGTTTAATTTATACCCAGGTCTCTTCTTCTGGTGGGATTTCATTTTACTGCCTTAAAATTAAAGAATGTCCTGACTAACTCAGCTCATCCCAACCAGAAATATTCATGTCATGTAGGCATAGTATTTCCAAATTATAATTGTTCTACTGCTGAGAAATCATCTTGCTTTTTCCAGATATGAATGAAGCACAAGCAGAGCACATTCTGAACAGCTGTAAGTTCGAGAATATCCCTGTGATGTTTGTAAATCAAATGCTAAAATTCAAAATACTGCTAGAGTTTCTCTATCCCCAGGTTTACTATTTCCCAAAAGTATGAAATATCTCTGAATGGATACATGATTTAACACTCTGTAAGAGGAAAAATTATTATTAATAATAATTGGCCATGCCTATATGGGCTCCTTGGAAATAACTTACTATTCCTCACAGAATGTTTCCCTGATAACTTATTTTAACAATTCCCCATCATTTTATTGTATTTATTCTTATTTGGCTCACTTTGTTAAAGTAGAAAATTTTGCTTAGAATTAAATAACACGCATTAATTTTAATATGTGAATTTTGATACAGTTGGGTAATGGCTATAATATTAGACAGGTATTTTAAATGTACCAGTGGTATTTTTCTGCAATAAGTAGCATACATTGTGCACTCAAAATTGTCAACGATCATGAAGTAAACTGTTGCACATAAGAAAATGACCTAGTAAGATATGAAAAAACAAACTTTGAACTGAAATTGCTTTAAATGCACTAGGGAGGATATTAAGTAGTTTATTTTTTAAGTTAATCCTTTTTCAATTTGAATGATCATTATTCTATTACATAATTTTGATTAATTTTTTGAAGGCAAGACAAACTTATAACTGTTTCCATCTTTATGTGCTAAACATGCCTTGACATGTTTAAAACACTGTTTATAAATAACCATCTTATAGCTACACTTGTTGCGAGCGCAGCATAATGATAGAGAAGTTGAATCTCTATAATGTACAGCTAATGCTAATGTAACATTGTGTGTCAACTAAAATGAAACAATAAAATAAAATAAAAATAAAACAAAACAAAACAAAACTATCTTATTTCCTTCTGACAGGTTGTGGTAGAGGGAGAGAGTTTCCATCCATGGAACGAATTGCTGAAGGTTATCCTGCAAAAAGAGCTGATTGGCCATGGCAAGCCAGCCTGCAAATGGATGGCATCCATTTCTGTGGCGCATCTTTGATCAGTGAGGAGTGGCTCCTGACTGCTGCTCACTGCTTTGACATGTAAGTCCTCAGTCTATACCAGCAGGATGACCAATTTCACCTTCTTTTCTTACCTTCATTTCTCATAATTCTCAAAAATTTTTCATTCTTTTATGAGCATCTTAGGCCTCCCACTGGAACTCAACATTGTGAAGCAGGCTTAGGAAGAAATAACAGTAACTAAAGAATAGTAGAAAAATTAGAGAATCTTCAGCTGCAACTGGAAATATATTCCCCAGCAATCCTAATTTAACTAAGAACAACACAACACTTCAAAAGTTAAGCACACTCACCAGTTTTCCTAAGATATATTGTGGATTTTTTAACTCTGTTAATAGTACCCTGATGCACAAATTTACATCAGATTATCCCACATGAATGTCTTTAGTCCTGCACTTTAATTATATCTTTTTTGAAGATGTAACATATGGGATACATGGAGATAATAATGAGATACAGTAAATCTAGTGAAATTCATATCAAGTGGGAAAATATTCTGAGTAAAATGTTAACTAAAAATAAAGGATGACAAAACAATCAATATATAAAGTGTGCCTCCAAGTTGACACCTCTCCCTCTCCTTCTCCCTCCCTTCTCCCTTTCTTTCTCTCTCAATAGCTATACATACATTTATATTACTGCATGCATATGGGGGTATATACGTGCATGGATGTGTACATATATGGGCACATAAGTCTAATTTTTTATTTATTTATAGGCTTTCCAACTACTCTGTATTTCTTTTATAATCAAAACTAGCAATAATATTTTGTTTCCTTTAGAAAATACAAACTCCCCCTCAAGGGGAGTAAGCTACCTTAGAATGGGGAGGCGGGGCGGATTTGTATCACCTAAATGAAGCAGAGCAATCCTGGGGGAGATACCTCAAGTAGAGTGGGAAGACCCCAATCAACTATCACCTTAAACAATTTTCTTTTAACTTTTTTCTTTTTTTTAATTTATTTTTTAAATTTGCATCCAAGTTAGTTAGTATATAGTGCAACAATGATTTCAGCAGTAGATTCCTTCATCTTAAACAATTTTCCCTTCTACCACCTCTATGTCCTATGCTTATTCGGAGTTCTGGGCAACTTTAGATCAGAAATGAACCAACTGTAATACTTTTAATCTGTGATCAGTTACAAAAACCCCAAACTCTGGATGGCTAGTTTTGGAACAACTCTCAGCCCTCCTCTGATGAGAAGAAAGATACAATCAATTATCATTCACAACAACTATGCTACCCATAAGCATGATGACGACATTGCTGTGGTGAAGCTTTCCACCCCCGTCCTCTTTTCCAATGATGTGGGCAGAGTCTGTCTCCCAGATGATACTTTTGAAGTCTTGCCTCAGAGTCCAGTGTTTGTCACTGGATGGGGAGCATTAAAAGCTAATGGTGAGTATCTCAGTAAAAAGAACTAAGCAAAAAATGCAAAGCTGTCTTCCATTTGAATGGAGATATAAAATAAGATACAAAATCAAAATATTGAATGTAAGAGATGAAATCAAGATGTCCCATGAAAAATATCACAAAACAACAAACAAAAAAAACAGATATGGTGACTTATGGAAACTTTGCTATTACTATTAGACAGTATCTATGTTTAATGCTTTCTTTATGGGCTATTTTGGTTATAATTTTACAGCTAGTTATAACTTCCTTTTCAAAAATTATTAAGGCATATTTTTTCATATCATTTACTTCTTTGTTGCTGTCTCTTTTTTGTATTAAAAAATTTTAATGTTTATTTATTTTTGAAAGAGAGAGACAGAGACAGAGAGATAGAGCATGAGCAGGGAAGGGCCAGAGAGAGAGGGAGATGCAGAATTCAAAGCAGACACCAGGCTTGGAGCTGACAGCACAGAGCCCAACACAGGGCTTGAACCCACAAACTGTAAGATCATGGCCTGAACCAAAGTTAGACGCTTAACCAACTGAGCCACCCAGGAGCCCCATGTTGCTGTCTTTTATATGTAGAGATTCTGCCATGGTTGCATGAATCTTAAAGTATGTGATTTGTGAGCAGTAATAACGATAAATTTCTGTAATGTGTCATACAACTAAACAAAAACAGACTTAAGCATTTTTTTTTAAGTAAACAATTTAAATGTCACGCCTGATGCTAACTATTAAATGGGACCCCTCTGATCCATGTATCTATGGAGCAGGTTTTAAGCCTCAGGATTTATACAGTTCAAAAGTACAACATTTTACTACATTTAATAATACACAATACACTGCAAAGATAGATTTTCAGATCTTGATAGGAGTCTCTGTTTCTACCTTTCTTAGGTGAGCAATTTACGTATAGTTTAAGCAGCCTTTGAATTTCTGATTCTTGTTCCAGTCTCTTGTTAAAAAGTTATAGTCTTATTTATCTACTTGCTCCAAAGATAGCTTTTATGTACTAAGTCTCTGTCACTTCATTTTTATAGAAATCTGCTTCCCTTCAATATGAACTCCAAAATTCTGATGTTGGGTCCAGGTTGTTATACTGTCATTATAATCTGAGAGTTATTTTCCTCATCTTGGGGGATCTGCCTTGTTCTATAGGCAATGGTGATGAGAACAAAGAGGAATCAAATCCTTTGGGATTAGAAGGCCTCTATAATGACTAGAGTAGAAATGGAAAGCATCTACCACTAGGGCAATACCACTACACTTCCTCTAGACCCTAATTAAACTTAACACCACACCCTCCCAGAGTAGTAGTTTGGGAGTGATTTGGGACTTCATCATGAATCGTCAATGCCCAATAGCGTCTTTGATCTATCTACTCTAACAAGTTGTATACTTCCCAGAAATAATGTTATAAATTTGTAAGACATCAGTCTAAAGTTAAGCATTAAATATTTGATTATGGTTTTCTCTGTATTTTGAAACTGAGACAAGGACTAAGGTTTTCTTCTACTTCCCCAAATTTATCCAATTATATCTAATTAGAAATCTTGTTACCAGACAGCTTGTAAAATAGAAACTTTCTATTCTGGATAGTTTCTTCCTTGAATAGTTGATAATGTAAAATAGCTTGTTATATTGTTAAGCACTTGAATTGACTTTTTAAAAGTTGAGATTAAGGAATTATAAGCACTTGAAGTTTAAAACTAGGCATCCTAGGCCAATTAACATAACACATAAAAGTAGGCACACAGAAATTATAAATAGTTTAAATACAGTTGATTAAAACCTAGGAATACCTATAAATTTTAAATGTCAATTACAGAGGAAAAAAGAGATAGTATTGAATATTGCTGAAGCATCTACACAAATAGTTTAGCCTGTTCTAAAAATCTGTATAAAGAATAGAGAGTGAGCAGATTCTTTCACTAGGACCATTTCAAAGAGAATCAGAAATGAAGAGAAAATGGTCATTTAATGACCCTCCAGTGCTTAAAAATGGTGAAGAAATGCACCAGATCCTAGACAATCTTTAATGACTATAAAAGATTTAGGCTTAGTTTTTCAGCAAGATAGTTAACGCTAGGTAAGTGAATTTACTAGGCTTAATACAGAGAATTAGATTTATTTACAGTTAGTGACAAAATCCCTAGAAACCTATATCTTCTCTTATAAAAGCTCTAGCACTCACTAGCCATCTTTGACATTGAAGTGCAGCTTAGTACCATGAGGATTTTAAATACATAATTTCATACTCTACAATCCACTCCAATAGCTTCCATTGGCTGAAATCTAAATGTGGGACAAAGCACTATCATAATTGGTTACATTAATTATTTTTTTAAGTTTACTTATTTATTTTAAGAGAGAGAGAGAGAGAGACAGAGAGAGAGAGAGAGATGGAGCACAAGTGGGAGAGGGACAGATAGAGAAGAAGAAAGAGAATCCCAAGCAGGCTCCTCACTGACAGTGTTAGCCAGATGCAGGGTTCGAACTCATGAACCATGAGATCATGCCCTGAGCTGAGATCAAGAGTCAAACACTTAACCAACTGAGCAACCCAGGCACCCTAACATTAATTATTTTTTAACCCTTACAACAGACATGTGAGATAGGTATCATTTACTCCTTTTAGCGAGTAAACTGATGCTTAGTGAGATTAAATAACTTGCCCAAGGCTAAATAGCACATAAATTGTGCAGTATTCAAACTCACATGTGCTACTGCTAAGCCTAGAGTCTTTAGCACAGAATTACCCTGATTCATTGGTCAAATTGACAGCACTGCCCTCCTTCCTCCTTTTAATTGTCTTTGAACCTTTTGTAAACAGTGCATCCATCTTTATATGAAGGACTAATACAGTCTTTAAAATAAAAGCTGCTCAGGGGTAATGAGAAGAATACAATGACTAAAATGGTACAATACACAATTAAAAGCACTTTTCATATAACAACAAATCAATGAATGTGTGGATCATTAGTAAAACAAGATTTAAATCTTATCTTGGTATTGGTTACTTACCCTGGAATTAGTTGTGGACAGCCATTTGAGCTATTATCAAAGTAGATATGGTCTTTCTGATGAAGCAGTAGGGTTCCATTTATTCAGTATTAAAATTACTTTCTGATCGTACAACCTCACTCTATACTGCTCTTCCTGAAGGATTTTCAATTCCCATTATAGCTGTGTTTTTTAAAGTGATGTGGCAGATTTCCAGGTAAGGTAAGGTAAACTATCACAGATTCTCCCAGGTGGTGATAAATGCCCTGGGTTTAAATGTGATGTTATCCTCCATTTAGCTATGTGATCAGAGCAAGACTCATAACCAGGTAAGCTTTGGTTTTCTTATCTGAAAAAGAGAATATTCATATCTACTTTTGTTGGTTGTTGCAAGGATTAAATAAGATAGTGGAAGTAAATGTGCCAAGAATGGTACCTAGCACCTAGAAGGCACGCAAGAAATATAACTTGAACCTGAGCACTGTCATCGAGCTCAGAGTCCTACAACTTTAAGACATATATCTTATCACCAGTACATCCTTTATAAAACACAACAATTAACTATCATAAGCAACAATGTGAAAATTCTTCATCTATTAATTATTTTCTTCTTTAGGTCCTTTTCCCAATACTCTGCGACAAGTTGAAGTAGAGATCATAAGTAATGATGTATGTAATCAAGTTCATGTATATGGTGGTGCTGTATCATCAGGAATGATATGTGCTGGATTCTTGACAGGAAAGCGAGATGCCTGTGAGGTAAGAATAGACTCAAGTCCACAAAAATGAGTGTGGTGAATGGAGGTGGCCTCACTGACTATAGACCGATGTCACTTCATACAACTATAAAATTAAGTTGACGAGGAGGGAAGAGAGTGTAAAAAGAGGGAATGGGAGAACCTTAAGAAATACTCCTCATTTAACACCCTCGTATTGTCCAGAACCATATGTAAAAAAGGACCATCAGTTGCAAATTAGTACTTTGATTAGAGAAAAAGACTGGAAGCAGATAGTAGAAACCAAGCCAGGGAGCCACACAATCATTCCTTCAAGTCGCAATGATAACCAATTAGGTGTCTGACCCCTACTACTTGTAAGGCACTATGGAATGGAGTCTGAAGATCCCTCCATAGCCAGAGCCATCATCCCACCAGCGCTTAACCCTTTTGACCATTAGCAGTCCACATTCATATAGAATCACACCATTTAGGAAGAGAATACATTTATCAACACTTATTCATATTAAAGTGTTGCCTCACAAATTATATCTAAAAAGTAAATAGCATTTCACTAAACCATACAAAATCTTAGATTAAGCATTTAAGGAGAATATCAGTTTTAAAGTCAGGCTACTTAAAAGACTAAAAATAAGTAACTAAAATAATGAAGATTTTCACTTGGGTCCAATAGTTTAGCAATTCTTAAAAGATTAGGAAATGTTTTGAGAATGTGACACATATGAGTGCTTTACTTAAATGCAAAGGGCCCACTATTGATCTGCCACTACCTGGCTGTAATGTGATATAATAAATATTCTTTCACTTATTCATTCCATTTTTTTTTTTTTGTATATTGCAAGGTAATGTGGCAATTACTGAAGGAAACATAAACATTAAAAAAAAAAGCCTATACTGAATCCACAATGAATTTACAATCTAATAATATAGCAAACAAGTAACGAAAAGAACAAAAACCTAGGATTTGGCTACATATTCTGAATATAAGATCTCCTTCCACTCACTTTCCTTCCTGAGGAGAAGCAAAAACAAGGCGGTCCACAACACAACCGGATAACATGACTTTTGAGCAGAAACATAAATCTATGTAAAAGATGTTCTCTTTCCATTGGTCCATGTTCCCATGCTTCCTTCGCTAGCAGCAAAATAAAATACTAAGGACCTAAATTAGGATGTGGTCTTACAGGAAAAGAGCTGAGAAGCATTGCTTTTAGTAACCAAAGTTTTCACACTCTGTCCACTGAGCCCTAAAGGCTACATGGAAAGAGAAGGGAAGGGAGCTAAGAGCCAAAACTCTAGGATCCCAGGCCTGCTTCAAACAGGATCATTTGTCTTATAAAATAAGTCTATAATGGGCTTCCATATAGGTTTATTGCTAAAAGATAAATTTAAAAATCATCTGTCTAAACCTTGGGTTAAAGATATCAGGGAAGTCCTCAGGATTCACACACTTCAAACCAGTTCACTAGGGCTAGGGATTAAACATTAGTTTGGAAACAAAAGCCTGTCAGTGATAAATAGTGCATATTTGCCTGGAGTGCCCTTTGCATACCCTTCTCTTCACACACCTATTGCTGCACAACAATATAGCATCCAGGACACCTTCCTATCAATTGGTATGAATGGAACAAGGTGCAATTCAAATATGGGGTGCCTGGGTGGCTGTTCAGTCAGTTAAGCCTCTGACTTTGGCTCATATCATGATCTCACGGTTTGTGAGTTCGAGCCCTGCATCAGGCTCTGTGCTGAGAGCTTAGAGCCTGGAGACTGCTTCAGATTCTGTGTCTTCTTCTTTCTCTGTCTTTCCACTGCTCGCTCTCTCTCTCTCTCTCTCTCTCTCTCTCAGAAGTAAATATTTAAAAAAGTTAAAAAAAAACACAAATTCATAGCAAGTGACTATATCTAGCTAACAGAAGAGGCTTCATGGAGGTGACATATAGTTGAGCCTTGAGTTCATCACTTATGTAACTATTGTATGCCTGGACTCAGGTTCAGTTTGTGCTCCCTGTTTAGATAGAGCAAAACTAAAAACTATACAAGGGTGGGGCGCCTGGGTGGCGCAGTCGGTTAAGCGTCCGACTTCAGCCAGGTCACGATCTCGCGGTCCGTGAGTTCGAGCCCCGCGTCGGGCTCTGGGCTGATGGCTCAGAGCCTGGAGCCTGTTTCCGATTCTGTGTCTCCCTCTCTCTCTGCCCCTCCCCCGTTCATGCTCTGTCTCTCTCTGTCCCAAAAATAAATAAAAACGTTGAAAAAAAAATTAAAAAAAAAAAACTATACAAGGGTAAAACTGAAATATTAGCTTTATTCACACTATTCCAGATGAAGATATTAACACAGGTAAGTAGAAGTAGTAAGATAAAAACAGGTAATAAGCAATAAATTCAATTGTTGTATTAATAACAATGGTAAGTAAAAACAGAATTCATTTTATATGCTTTTGTTTATTTTATTTTTTAAATTTTTTAATGTTTTTATTTTATACGTGAGAGAGAAGGAGAGCATGAGCAGAGGAGGGGCAGAGAGAGAGGGAGACACGGAATCCAAAAGAAGCTCCAGGCTCTGAGCTGTCAGCACAGAGCCTGACACGGGGTTCGAACCCACAAACCATGAAATCATGACCTGAGCTGAAGCCAGACACTTAACCTACTGAGCCACCCAGGCACCCCTACATACTTTTATTTAAAATATTAATTTAATAGTCATTCACAGGCTCCTAAACTTTCATTTTTTACTCCCCTTTATTTATTGCATTGACAATGTACATTTCTTCTTCTCCTACAGGGTGATTCTGGAGGACCTCTGGTTATAGCACATGATAGAAACTGGTATCTTATTGGGATAGTAAGCTGGGGAATAGACTGTGGAAAAGAAAACAAGCCTGGACTTTACACCAAAGTGACTTGTTATCGGGACTGGATTAAATCTAAAACCAACATCTAATGCAACAATCACCTGTACATCCAAAATGTTAATGTGGTCGCTAGCAAATTGCGTTGCTAGAACGTGTTGCTATGTATATTGTCATCGAGTTCAAGATGCAAATAAGCATGAACGGACAAAATTCCCCTTAAACATGAGGAAAGCAGACTTTCTTTTACATCATCTGAAATGTTTTGCTAACCTGAATATACAAGATATCATCAACTCCACAATGATCTGCCATTGCTGCTAAGTGTCTCCCATGATCTCCTTGCTCATTTTTCTGTTCCTACTCATTTAAAATGAGAACAATCCAGTTTAATCAGACAAGTACCAATTGGCTAAGCATTCTCTATTTCTTCTTCCCTGACAGGGCACACTGCCCTTCCCTGACTCCACAATTTTCATGTTCCTCATCAAATAATCTTCATTAAGAATCTGTAGGTTCACTGTACTAGACAAATCAAGGTAATTACTTCTGGCCAATGTGAACACAAATGATGGAGGGGCACTAGGCATGAAACTGGGACTTAAGAGATGGCCCTCCTATCAGCCCTTTCCCATTTGTCCTCACATGCACATTCACCTCTCTCTGAGACTTGAAAAACATTGACATGACAGTGTAGATTTTAAACTCTAAACAACTACCTAATATTTGCTTTGGAACAATAAATAAATCTGTGTACCAGACAGGAAAACTGAAAACACTGCCTAGCACAGATTCTGTGCTACACTACCTAAAAATGCCTTTTTTTTTTTTTTTTTGTATTTAGAAAATAAAGAGTAAGTTTCTTGGTCTTTTTGTTAGATGGAAATGAGAAGATAAAAGGACTCTGTGAGAAGGATTTCCTTTCCATCTCTAAAAATGAGAGATGTTACAAACCTGGCATAAATTAACTTTTCACTTATGTTTTATTATATCTTACTGCATTTTCTTTTCTAAATAGCCTTATTTTCAATCAACTTCAGAACAAGTGAAGGACCCACAGAATAAGAAGCCAATATAAATTAGATATTCATAAATCATTTACATGAGAAGCCATTATAAAATTAGATATTCATAACCAATTTGATATAAGATTTTGGAAAAGATCTGATTGTCTAATATTTAAATTTACTGTTAAAAATGGCTGGCATTCTTTATAGTATTTTTGGAGAATACTCAAATAATCCAGAAAGCATCTTTGGAGAGATTTAACTTATATGACAAAATAGTCATTTTCATATGTATTTAAATGTATATTTCCTGACACTATATATGACTATGGACTAGTATTCAACAAAACTCAAACTTTTTCTGTGCTTCTAAACCTTTGCTCCCCCTGTTATGATTAATTTGGCTAATGAAATAACTGCTGTGCTAAGATTTTCTTCTGAGTTTTATATCAGCTGAGAGTCTTTCTTGGTCCACATACATAATGTTATATTGTATACATTAAAATATATTTATAATAATAAACTCAACCTCATTTCCTTTGAATCATCAGTATATTGCATTACACATCTCAACTTTTGCCCTGCTGACATTAGTCAGAGATAATTTTTTTGTTTTGGGGGGAAGGTGGCAGCTATCCTGTGAACTGTAGAATGTTTGCAACATTTCCTACCTCTATACACTAGATGCCAGTGGTAACCCCCACCAAGTTGTAATAACAGCAAATGTATCCGGATATTGCCAAATGTTGCCTGTGGGGCTAAATCACCCCCATCTGAGAACCACTGCCATGGAATCAACAGTCAGAGGAAAAAAGTCACTTGTTAAAAATCTTACAACCACAATTTTCTTACATGGGTCTGAGCATATCTTTCTTCTCCCTTTTCTTACAATGCACATGTGTTGAGAATGCTAAAAAGACCGTCTATGATGATTACTCTCATATCCAAAAAATCCTAACCAAATCAAGATCATTTGGAAAGTGAACCTGTTTGGGCGAAGGAGGCTGTTTATATAGATCTATTGAGATAGAAGTCTATCTAAAGATAGATGTCAACTGGTCTATATAGATTAGAGAAATCTACATAAATTTCTCTCTAGAAAGAGAGATATTTGTCAAGTACCTAAAGCCTGCATAATCATACCACGTATATATTCTATTTAATATTCTCTGAATGAATAAATAGATACTGCCTGAAAAAAGATTTACATATTCGGCTGAGGCAGAATGGCTCAGTCCATCATTCACTAGCATTGTAGAGTGGAGAATAGGAAGTGGCGTAGCATCACTATGCACTAAAAGCTGCATTATCTGAAATAGTAGCCACTAGTCAGACGGGACTATTTAGATTTAAATTAATTAAAATTAAGTAAAGTTCATTTAATTGAACTTTATAATAGTATCAGTTACACTAATATCATTTCTAATATAAAAGAGTCAAATAAGGCTAATGGTACCATATTGGGTAGCACAGATATACATCATTTCCAAAATCATGAAGTTTTATGGACATCACTGGCCTACAGCATTGTATGCAACTACTTGCATAAATCACTTATTCATCTAACAAACATTTCTTGAAACACTATGTGTCAGACACTGGATATTCTAGATATTGGGTATATAATTGTATATAAAACCAAGTCCTGTTCTCAAGACAACATAGAGGTGAAAGTATTTTTGATAATTATTGTTAAAAGTAACAGAGCCTTTGGGTAGTGTGTTTGGCCATGCATATCATGGTGACTTCCAGACTCTTCCTCTAGTGTCATTGGCCCACTAGTACAGAATGTTCTTTGTATAAGCTATATCAGGCCCAGAGACCCATAAGGAAATTGAAGTGGTCACAAGTGGAATTTTCAACCTTAGACAAAGATCCCAGAACTTCTTCAATAAATAGTATATTAAAGAATAAAAAAGTTTAAAATATATATTTTTATTATTTTATTTAAGAATAAAAATATTTCGGTAGCTTTTTAAATCAGATAATTTCTTATAACCCAGAAAGATATATTAATGGCAACAAAAGAGTAGCAAGTAATAGAGGAGCATCAGAGTGACTTAGTCACAAAATTTAAAAATATCAAGTAATATATATTTTTTTTAACATTTATTTATTTTTGAGGCAGAGAGAGACAGAGCATGAACGGGGGAGGGCCAGAGAGAGAGGGAGACACAGAATCTGAAGCAGGCTCCAGGCTCTGAGCTGTCAGCACAGAGCCTGATGCGGGGCTCGAACTCACGGACCGTGAGATCGCGACCTGAGCGAAGTCGGACGCTCAACCGACTGAGCCACCCAGGCGCCCCTCAAGTAATATTTTAAGCAAGAAGCCAACCCAGGTATAAAACAGGGACTGGATTGTGCAATATGTTAATATTGTTTTATTATAGATGAATCCAAGAAATGTAGAAACAACAGATCACTATAATCCAAACCTATGTTCATCAAAAACCCAGTAAGAAACAGACCAAATGTGTCACTATGCTGCCATCTCCTGGTCTATATAATTTATTTAAATATACTTTTATTGTAATTGCATTTCAAGCTCTAAAGTTGCATAAGCTATTTTCCAACACAGATTAGTAGAAAGAAAAATCAGACAATCTCTCCCCAGTTATCTTCTGAGGTAATCAAAGTTTAAAACCGTATATCCTTAGGGCGCCTAGGTAGCTCAGTTGGTTGAACAATCGACTCTTGATTTCAGCTCAGGTCATGATCTCATGGTTCGTGGGGTCGAGCCCCACATCAGGCTTTGTTCTGAGAACCTGTGGAGTCTGCTTGGTATTCTCCATTTATCCCTCTCTTCTATCCCTCACCCACTAGCACTCCCTCTCTTTCTCAAAATAAATAAACCTTTAAAAAATGCATATATCCTTTCAATTTGTTCTGTTTATACAAATATAAACAAATATATTCATTCACTTATAAAGAGCTTACCCACTTTTTTAAAAAATAGAAACATTTTATATGCATTCATATATATGCAATGTGTGTGTGTGTGTGTGTGTGTGTGTGTGTGTGTGTGCGCACGCGCACACACGTGTGTGTGTGTAGTATCTGGGCTTTTGTTTCTGCTAAAATAACGTACTAGCGTAAGATATTCCCTCCAAATCAAAAAAAATCAGATAAACTATAGATGAAAGAAGCAAACATGGGTTCTAGGCCAGCAAATGAAAATAAAAGTGAAAGGCTACGAGACTAGGCTCTCGTGAAGTGAATTATGTAGGGAGGGTAGGTGGCTGACACCCTGAGTGGAATAAAAGAACAGGTCAAAGAAACACTGTTTATGTTTTACTCTTGCAGTCCCCAACACCCTGCCTGCCCTATATTGCCTTAACAATACATTCACCTGCCCTTCAGACCAGAAACTAATCACAGCAATCCAGACAACTACTTTTGGGAGTATCAGGGCAAACACCTACTAAGGGGAGGAGGCTCTAGAAAAAGTGACCACTAATCAGATGCTTTCAGGTATTCCTCACCCTCACTCCTCCAAACCCCAGGATGGATGCATTAAAACTTAAGTAGCTGGTTTCCTCCAGTACCGCTTCCCTCTGAGGCCAGCTCTATAGCTGCTCCTCGTGTGGTCAGCCTGCACCTGCAGGGGTGAGCCACCACTGAACTTCTTAGCTGCGCTGGAGCCCCTCTCACCAGCTCATTTCTAGGGCTTTGGTAAATGGTGTGTCATCTTGGCCTTCCCATAAAGCACATCTCCCGCAGGGTCTTCTGGCTTCACATGGCAGATCCATTCCAGCATGGCCACTTCCCTCAGCTTCTTAATTTCTTCCACCACTGCCTGCCAGGACAACTGGGACGTTTCTGTTTCCCTCAACTTTGGCTATTTCTTTCCACAAGATGTTAAGAGCCACTCCAGAAGCAAGACTTCCCCAGTCTCCTTGGGTCCTTGGCAGGGTGTTAATTCTATATTTTGAGAACATCAATGAATTCTTTTCCAGTCTTCCATTCAGCCCTCCTTCATCAAGCACACTCAAAACCCAATGTCAGGAACAGGAGTACTCTTCTCACTAATTCTCATAATCCCTCAAGTGCACAGTCTCCTTCCTCCCTTATCAGACCCAGCACAT